ACTAGTCGGTGCCCTGGCCTCTAAATTATTTGGAAGGTCCTCATCTTGCCCTCTGGTGGAAGGAACCTAAACTAATAGTCATTAAATCTGGCTTCTGTTACTGACTGTATCCTGACAGCTCTAAGATATCCCACAGATTACTTCTCTTTGCCTCAGTTTCCTTGCCTCTGAAATGGAATGCAGATTGGCTGGCTCCCTACCTAAAAGATTGTGTTGGGAACCAAATGAGATAGATCACGACTCTAAGATACTTTGTAAACCACCCAGCGGTCTGTGGTTGGAAAAGGCTTTTAGGATGACAAACTTGGCCCATTTTTTAACTTTCCTTATTGACAGACCACCTACCATGTTCCAGCTACATCCCATGATTTCATTTGCATTACAGAATTGAATCCTCATTCCTCAAGCAGCAGCTTTAGAAGGATTGTTTTAAATCCCTTGTTTTTCTGGGTTTTGCTTAATTACTACTCTGGCAACAATATCTCTTTACTTTTGTTTTTTTGAGACAGAGTTTTGCTCCATCGCCAGGCGCCACGCTGGAGTACAGTGGCGCCATCTCAGCTCACTGCAAGCTCTGCTTCCCGGGTTCAAGCAAGTCTCCTGCCTCTGCCTCCCGAGTAGCTGGGACTGCAGGCACACACCACCACACCCAGCTAATTTTTTGTATTTTTAGTAGAGACAGGGTTTCACCACGTTGGCCAGGATGGTCTCGATCTCTTGACCTCATGACCTGCCTGTCTTGGCTTCCCAAAGTGCTGGGATTACAGGTGTGAGCCACTGTGCCTAGCCTTTTTTTTCCTTTTTTAAACTTCATATACATAGTATTTTAGCTTCATTATGGGTTAAATTGAGTTTTTTGGGTGAGCCTGGGCACCCTCTCAAAATGTATAGCTTTGTTCTGTGGAAAAGCTGTTTCTAAGCATCAGACAACCAATGACACGGCAAGTTTTGGAACAGCACGGGTTTGTAAGTTGGAACCACTGTAGTGTTTGCATTGTTCTCTAATTAGTCTGTGGAAGGATAGCTAATCTCCCTGGTGAGATCACAGACTGCTTAAGGAAGGGGCACTACGTCTTGCCTGTGTGCTCCGTAACGCCCAGCAGGTACCAAGCTCAAGAACGTATTCAAAAAAATACTTGTTTAATTCTTCCAAAGCCCAGCTCCTTGTCTGCCTCCAAGACATGGCTGCTGATGGGAGTCGCCTTGGGTGCCCCCGGAACTTAGTCATTGAATCATACACTGTCAAACTTGACAACTCACAAATGAGGCCCAGGAACCCAGTGTATCTTGTCCAGGCTCATTCGCGGAATGTAATTATAGTGGTAATAACAATATCAACTAATTTTTTTAGTACTTAATGTATGCCAATACTTTTCTAGATGTTTTATATTTGTTAATGTATTTAATCTTTACAAAAAATTTGAGGCAGTTATTCCTATTATTCCCATTTTACAGATCAAGAGACTGTGACCTAGAGAGGCTAAGCAACTTGCTTAAGGTCCTAGAACTGTTAAAAGTACAAGATAAAGATTCAGTCACTGGCAGCCCGGGTACAGGGCTCATGCTCTTCACCCCTGTGCCACATTGCCCCTAGTCCTGAAAGACCAGGAGTGAAGCCTGCTGTCTTGACTGTCACCCGTGATCCTCTCTGCTGGAATACTTTGCATAATAACACAGTGCTGCTGTTCTCACTGGCTCCATGCTGTGTGATCTGTATTATTAAATCCTTGGACAATAGGCAAGATAGGTGCTTTTGTTTAATGCTTACATGTGTTGTATGTTGTACCACGTTCAAACGGTACAGAAAAGCACCAAAGTAAACCAAATGTCTCTTGAAATTTTTTCATCCAAAGCTAAAATCTGGATCAACATTTTGGCAAACATTCTTATAGACGTCTCTGTTTTAATACATATGGGTATAGTTCCACACATGTGTGCATGGGAGAGAATAAAGAAGAAATTTAAAAAATAAGTTTAAAATTTTTTATTAAATAAAAATTTAAAAGTAACACATATGTGTATAGATACATATTTACAATTGGACATCATTGGGACCTCATTCTAGATGCGTTGCTGTGAGCAGGTGAGCGGTGTTATTTCTGTCAATGCTGCTTAAATGAGGAAAGTGCGCTCAGGAGAGGGCAACAGTTCGTCCAGTCAGAGCCAGTATGGGGGGGTTGGAACTTCAATCCTGTGTGGGGTTTTTTATTTTATTAAGCTCTCAAAGCAAAGACCACATTTATTTTTTGACATTCATCATTCCTGTTCAAACACCTTCCTCTCAGTGCCCAGCCCTGGCTCTGGAGTGGGTGGGCTGCCAGGCCTCTAGTGGGCTGTTGTCTTTCCTACTAGAGAAGAGATTCTGGGTATCTGGTGGGTTGGAATGTTTATGCAGCTATCAATAAAAGCCCAATAAAAGCTTTTGCATTGACTAAACAATGCTGGTGGTTTTCTGGCCCTGTGAAATCTCAGCTGAGGCAGCTCCTTTGAGGTTTCACAGTGATTGCAAATGTGGCACAGTCATGTGGTGACCACTCCAATGCCACCTTGTCATTTCCCCTTCAAACAGCATGGCAAGTTATTTTGAAGAAGTTCAGGGGAAGTGGAATCTGATGCGGCAAGAGAGATCCTCATTTCCTCATCCTAAGCAACTTCTCTTTCTACTGGTACTTTGGTCTTAGAATTGGTATCCAGCTCTGCTGAAAATGAAATCATATATTCAACTCTCAGGTTGAAGTCCAATGTGATTAGATATTAATGCACTGTAATGGGGGATTGGTATTAAATTGAGACCTTCTGATCTTGTTACTCTTCAAATGTTCCCTCGTGCTCACTCTGCTGGGCTGCCAGCCCTGCCTCCCCTGCTTCCGCAAGCATAAGCAAGGGCAGTGGGGCCAGAGCCCAGAGCCCTAAGCCCACCGCAGCAGCCTAGTGTAGGGAGAGGGGAGTGGAGGCAAGAGGAGCAGCAAAGGAGAAAGGAGAGGGAGACCCAGGCTCAGACTGGCTCTGCCCAGGATGGCTCCCAGCGGGACCGTGTCACTACCTGTGCTCCTTCAGCCTCCTCTACATCATGGAGGGAGGAATGCGTGGGAACACAGTGCCATGATTCTGGGCCTGCCTTCATTCTCAGAGCCACACGCATGTTGTTGAGGGCCAAGAGCTTCCAACTGTCAACTTGTACCTTTATGTCCAGAATCACCTGGAGATTTGACAGGCATCAAGCTGGAAGGCTGAGAATAATAAAATCTTTGCTCAGTTTCTTCTCTTCCCGCTGCTTCCCCATGCCAGTCCTTTTTGTAAAACTGCAACTTGAACCTAATAGCTGTCACCAGCTATTGTCCCTCACAATAGTTTCCCTTTCCTGGAGGCGTGGCCCAAGAAGCAGCCAGTGAGCCAGCTTTAGTGTACTCTTTAGCTTCCTTTAGGGACAAGGATGGGACTCTGATGTCCTAAATAGTGTGAATGTTGGCCAGGGGTGGCTCCCTTCACTTCCCCTCACCTGCTGGAGGAAGAACGTGAGTGTGTGGTGAGTTCCACTGCTTGGCTCACGAGAGACAGCTAGGCCTGTGGAAACCCCACAGCGCCTTGCAGGTCCCTCTGCCAGCCCACGGGCTGCAATCCATCTAGCAGACCTTCCCCAAGACGGCTGGGGGTCTGAGAGGACAGCAGTCGCCCACTAAGAAAATAGGCCACCAGTGCAAGCCCTGGGCTTGTTCAGATGGTATCACCTTCATGTGTGAAGAATAGCATTTTTACAGAGAGAGTGATTGTTCTTATTCTGTTTCCAGAAAACTGCTTTCAGGGACACAGACTTTGCACACAAGATGGTAATGACTTTTTAATGACCTTAAGGGGACTGGTGTCCAGGCGGCAGTGAATCAATCTCAGTGGGAGGTTCATAGTGAGAGGGAAGATGGAACACCTGAAACCAAAGGGGAAAAACAAACTGCAAATACATATATATTTTCTTTGCTAGCATTACTTGGTAATTAGACAATTACAGGAAACAGCTTCCCAGCAGCTGGCATTTCCACTGTGAGAGCGGAGGAGGGATGGCAACAACTGTGAACTCCTCACATTTATTACAGAAAATATTATTGGAGTTTACAGTCGTGGGCGCCATGCACTCCTCCGGTGCATTCTGATGAGCTGCTGAGCGTTCAACCAAGAGCAGAAATCCTCCTCTCAGGGTCTGTTCAGGGCCTGCTCTGCTGAGTCTTAAATGAGCTGGCCTGGCCCATGCTGATCAATGAGGAATTGCCTTTAAAATATTGGAGATGCTTTTGAAACCACCCAGAAAGACAGGCCAGTCTTGAGAAAAGACGGCGTCGGGGGCAGCATTCGGAAGCAGGAAAGGAAGGGGTAGAGGCCTATGGAGAACTTGCCACCGCCCCCATGTGCCATCACTCACATGTGGGGGTCAGATGGTAGGGCAGGACCCCCGCTGCTCCAACCTGAGTCCTGGAACTCTGCAGCCCTCCCACATGCCTGCCCTCTTCAAAACTCTTCTCCTTCCAGAAGCCTCTCGTGCTGAGTAACTGCTCCCCATTGGATATACACCTGATGAATCACTGAGGTCATTCTGCCAACAGCCCTGAGGTTGGCCCCATCGTGGACCCATCTTATAGGTGGGGAGATATATTTATGAACTCCTGCCACTGTGATTACATTTATTTGTCTGAACTCTTGTTGTAATGAGGGCTTGGTCTGCACTCTGTGCTTGTTTGTGGAGGGCTTTGTAAGAACCCTAAGTGACATTCACAGATGGGGAGGAGTGCCTTCTGTGATGGGACTGTACGCTCCTGAATAAGGACACTGTATATCCTGTATCTCTCAGCTGTACATTAGCTGTACATTAGGCCTCGGCCCCGCCCCCCTACAGTGCAGGTCCCCCTGACGACAGGAAGCCCTCCCTCCTCTGTGGATGTGACTCCACCAGCCACACTGTCAGAGAGTTAACTGCACCGTCTAACCAGGCAAATGGTTGTTTCCTCCCACAGGTCCTGGCAGTCAGTAACCTTTGAAAGGCAGCCTGCCTCCTTCATCCGGATCGTTGGGACACACAACACAGCAAATGAGGTAAGGGGCTGTTTTCATGAGAGGTGCTGTGAGATTCATGATGTACAGGTAAATGCTACATCCTGAGTTAAATGGAACTGTTTGTTCTGCCTGCTAATGGCCTGTTGTTCAGACAGCTTGGTATGGAGAAAGTCCTGCAATTGCACAGTGGGGATATCATTATCATTTCTGGATATCTCTTCACTAGCAAATGAAAGCCAGCTCCTACTGCTTTGCTAATTCCTACAGCTCTCTGTGGAATCGGCCAACCACAGAGGCCTTGAGAGGTCAAACACATCCCCTGTGTCTGAGTCCTCAGCCTTCCCAAATGACAGCAATTGTATGAGGTTCCTTGCCCCTCTGAGCTTGGTGTCTGGCAGGTGGCCATGCTGCTGATTTACCACTCCTGTGCTGTTTGTAGTCATACTGTGTCAAGTGTGTACCTCCAAAGAACCTCTGGTTTAAGACAGGCAGCATAGGGAATAATGGGTCAAAATCCAAGAGGTAGATGAGAAACATAAAGTTATTAATAGTTCTGCAATTGTATCTTTTCATGATCCTTCTCAGGTATATGCAGGATTGGCTCTATGGTATACCACCAGGACAGTCACATGGGACCCAGAGCTTGAGGTGTAATGCTCTGTGACACTATCTTGAAATCTTAGGGTCTTTTTACCTTTGAATTGCTTTATAAGTGAAGCTCCATTGCACAGTGGAACACACACCAGGACCTTGGGGCCTCAGTCCACACACAATCCTGTCTCCTGCCCCTTCCCACCTTCCTGCGATGAGCTCTCAGCCACCCACTCCCTGAGCCAGGATGCCTGGGTTCTGCTTGGCCTCCCCCTCCTCATCTCACCCATGATCACTGTCTCCTCCACCCCCAGCGGGGGCCCTGGCACAGGGATGGATGGGGTCAGGGTCTGGTCTGAGTCCTGAGCTTAAGTCACAGGATAGGACCCTGGGTGCCCTCGAGGGGCCATACTGGCAGGGGGATGTTGGTCCCTGTGCCTGAGGGAGCACAACATTAAGTAGCAAGTAATAACCAGCATGACAGCTTGAGAGAGAGAGACCCTTGATGAAAGCAGAAAGCTTTTTTTCTGCTTTTTGAACGCAGGGCTCCACGTTTCCATCTAGCAAATGGGCCCTGTGCTTGGGATTCATGTGTCGTCTTCGTGGAATTAAAATTTTCTCAGAATACATCAAGGTGTTTCTGGTACTTCAAAAAGCATTTTTAAAAGTGAAAATATTGTGATAATTTAAATTCATTTTGCCTTTTTATTTATTTAGAATAAAAGTGGCCCATATCTACAATGTGTTTCTTGCAGAGAGGAACTTGTAAACAGAAACTTGGAACTTTTCCTCTTGCCTCTTTATTTCAAAACAGACCTGAAAACTATAAAAGTAAACCAACTGATATTTTCTAAAGAAAACTTTGAGAATTATAAACATCAGGTCATAAACAATTGAAATTTTTACATACTAACATATTGAAATAGAATTAACTATTATTTTTCATTTGCAGTTCTTGCTTTTTATACAGTGCATCCCCCCCCCCGCCACCGTTTTCTTCTTTAATTCCTAAATGGAATTCTGAAATTTTGTATCATAACAGAAGGAATTCTCAAGTCAGACAAGGCTAAGCAGCAGCAAGGCAAGTCTGCTCAGAGCCTTCTTCCAGGGCTGCCTTCGGTCCCAACACTTTGGGAGACTGAGGCCGGAGGTTTGCTTGAGCTCAGGTATTCAAGACCAACCTGGGAAACATAGTGAGACCTTGTCTCTACTTTAAAAAAAAAAAAAAAAAAAAGGCCAGACGTGGTGGTTCATGCCTTTAATCCCAGCTCTTTGGAAGGCCGAGGCAGGTGGATCACTTGAGATCAGAAGTTCCATGGTAAAACCCCATCTCTGCTAAAAATATAAAAATTAGCCAGGCATGGTTATGCATGCCTCCAACCCCAGCTACATGGGGGGCTGAGGCAGGAGGATGACTTGAACCCAAGTGGCGGAGGTTGCAGTGAGTTGAGGTCGTGCCACTACATACCAATCTGGGCAACAGAACAAGACTCTGTCTCAAAAAAAGAAAGAAAACCAATTCATAGGCATTGTAGCATGCACCTGTAGTCCCAGCTGCCCAGGAGGCCGAGGCAGGAGGATCGCTTGAGCCCAGGAGTTCAAGGCTGGAGTGAGCTATGATTACAGCACTGTACTCCAGCCTGGGTAACAGAGTGAGACCCTAATTCAAAAAACAAAAAATGTACCATAAAGGTGAACTTTACTGGGCATCAAGAATATAGAAAACCCCAGAGAATGTTCTTTACTACAGCATACTGGGTTATGGGACATTATTTGAAAAAAGTCATAATGGCTTAGAGAACAGTGGAAATGTGTGTAAGCCAGTATGGCAAAGTTCAGAGGTCACATCAGGGAAGGAGAATGGCTTGGCTTGGTCAGGCAGGATTCCTGAGAGAAACAGCTCTAGAGGAGAACATGACTGCATGGACAGGAGTGCTTCGTGGAGCTGGGGAGGGCCGCAGCATGGGAAAGGAGGCTGGAGGTGCAAGTGCAGCACCACCCTGATTCCTGGTCCCATGGGAGCCAGAACTCCAGAACTGTAGAGAAAAAGGGGTCAGGGCACCTCTCTCACTATGGAGGGTGGCCGGGCGGGCAGAGGATGTAGGGTTTCCTCAGTGTGTCCCTGCTTGTTTGCTAAATAACATCAGCAGCTGTCTCAGCTGGCTATTCCACTGACTAAAGTCACACATTGATTTCTCACAGTCCTGGAGGCTGGGACTCTGAGATCAGGGTGCCCGCAAGCTGGATCTTGGTGAAGGCCGTCTTCTGGGTTGTGTCCTCACATGGCCTTCTTAGGTGTGTGCACTCTCACGAGAGAAGGAGAGAGAGCAGGCACGAGTGCTCAGTCAGCACTTTTCCTCTAAGGACACCAGTCCCATCATGGGGGCTCCACCCTCATGACCTCAGCTGAACTTAATCACTTCCCAAAGAAGGCCCCACTTCTAATCCCATTCCATTAGGGGTTAGGGCTTCCACAGAGTAATTTGGGAGGGACACAAGCATCAGTCCCTAACAGCAGCCTTCAAGTCAGAGCAAGAAAAACATTGTTTCCCTTTAGCTTCGCAGTGTTTGTGAACCCAGATACTTTGTGCTCACCTCAGAAAGTATCGATGGAATTGGTCTATGGCATGGAGAGGTAATACTGTCTGTGTGTGTACAATAAAGGGAAATCTGGATGAACAAACCCTTTGCCAAATGGCCCAGGTAGGCCCGTCTTCTGCAGGTGCTTCCCCATCCAGAGAGGGGCAGGCAGAGCAGGGGCTGGTGGGGAAGTGCCGCATGGAGGCTCCTGTGGTAGAGTATTCAGAGGGGACCATGGCTGGGCAGTTTGGCAAAAGGTGGGAAGTGTCCTGGACAGTGAATAAGTGGCAGCCTGCAGAGCGGCTGGCTGTTTAGAGAGACCTGAAGTCATTCTTGGGGCCAAGAACCCAGTGAGTTGATAGCTCTGCGACAGTGACCATGGAAACTGCCCCAACCTCCAAACACTCTGGCTGCTGCTGGAATCGGAAAAGGCGGACAGCAGGTGGTGCGTGGAAGCAGGCCCCCAGGCTGAGCTGTCTGAGCTAAGGTGGACTGGGATTTCTTGCCTGCTGTAGGTGTGTGTCTGTCTTGCTCCAGTCAGCCAGGCCTTCCTGCATCCAAAGGCTTAGCCTCCGTCTGCTGCATGTTAATTTTCCCCACTTCCCTCCCATTTGTCCAGCTCTCAGGCAACGGCCGCCTCGGCAGTCTGTGGGTTTAGACTTCTTGATCACCTGCTCTGGCACGCTTCTGATTTCCTGCTGCATTCCATCCCTCTCCTCTGGGAAGTGTGTGTCTGCTACTGGCATCTGTCTCTCATCTTCCTTTGTGAGCACCACAGCAACAAATTAATTTTTTAGCTACGTTTACGACTTCTGTCAATAAATTCCCCCAATGCTTACCTCTTAAAGACTCCACCACTTCCTTCTGTGACCCCTGTTCCTTGTGTACTCAGCATCATCCTTATCATTTATCAGAGCCCTCCGCCTTCACGTCCCACCAGTGTGCTTCTGCGTCCTCTGCTCCCCGCTCGCCTGGCTCTGCAAGCTCCCCTGTGCTTGGCCCGGTGCTCACACGTGTCTCTTCTTTACCCTGGAACGCTTTCCCCCACTCCTTTGTCTTCCTCCCATGCTCAGCACTAGATGGCAGACATGTCAGTTTGTCTTTCAGCACATCCGCCTTCCGCTTCATTGTTGCCATTCCTCTGGTTCTCCCCAGTGCCTGTGGCCAAGGAGGTCCTTCTTGGCCATTTCCTCAGTCACTTTGTGGTGGTCTCAGTTGCCAGCTTAGCAAGCTCGTGGTCGTTCCTGTGTGTGTGCCCATCTGCCTTCAATGCTAATTGAGCCGCTGGGGAGACAGACATGCTCTTCTCCTAAGCCTCTCAATGTCTAAGATAAACTGGACCTTGTCAACAGCATTACAAATGTCTACGGAATCTTTAGTTTCAGCCCCAGCAACTGTGCTCAGAACCACATTGGTTCTGATGTGTGGGGTCCCCCAGCAACCCTTCTATTTCATTTTATTATCTTAGCAAATAACAAAGGCACATACCTACACCCTTAAAGAAACACAGCTGGGAGTAAATGAGATCAAGTCTATGCACCCATGAAAATCAGTCAGTGGCGTTCAAGAGATATAGAAGATATGCCTGTTTCTTTCTATGGCTTTTATGAAAACCTAGGTTCGAAAGTTCTGGAGTGATTTTCTTCAGTAGGCATGGAGCTCAGGGGCCCACAAGCAGTCTTGAGGGTTAAAAAGGACTGTAGGAAAAGCAAACTCTCTGCAGAAAGACAGGGTTTCTGCTCATAAGACTCTACATGAAAGTTTTTGCCAAATCAATAACAGAGACTAAGGATGGTATTGACAGGCTTTAGGCAGCTCCGAGGGCTCTCTTTTACTTACTGCATTTATATAGTGAGGAGGGAGGCTGT